TGCTTCAACTCGTTCACTGACCCTCACTTTCCTGTCTATCTCTCTGAACTGTTGCTTCCTTACATCCCCACAAGACAACTACGCTCTTCCATTGACAGTAGAACCCTCTCAATCCCAAGAACCAAAACTAAGACCATCGGTGAACGCTCCTTCTACTTCCATGGGCCCACGTTCTGGAACCAGCTCCCCTTCCATATCCGTCATTGTGAAACCTCGTCCACTTTCAAAAAGTCCCCGGGCGAGTGCTCACTGCCCCCATGCCTTTCTGCTTCAGTCAGAAAGAGTAGAGAAATTCGACATTGGTGTCAATCTGCAATTTTTTACCACGAAAATAAAGACCGTGCACCAATGGTTTTAACACGTTAGCTCAGGGGTTCTAAAAAGAAGTTTGGCTTTAGCGCAATGTACGCAGCCCTCACGTCCTCTTGTCTTATCCAAAAATAAACATCTTCAAATGAATGGCCTGTGCGGCCTTGTGTGATTAGACAACTACTCAATTAAAAGTAAACATGTAGGACCTTCTCTCTGACCGACAACTACTCAATTAAATGTAAACCTGTAGCATATTTAATAGTATTCGATCAAATTATTGTTAAAACTTTTCTTGAAGTGTATTGATACCTTAGATTTTTAAAGTTGTTTAAATATTTAACAAGAGTTTTAGATAACTGAATTCTTGACTCGTCTAATATGCTTAATGCGATATAAGGACTAGGTACACTGCATCAGTTTTCATAACAATTCTTGTTTTTAATCTGAATGTTCTGATCAGAAAGGTTACTACTGTATTTATATTACCAATTCTTCACTTATTGGAGCAAAGTGATGCGACCAAACCAAAGGCACCTTCCACCAAAGAAATTTTTGAAATGCATAAAGTTTTTAACCAATTTCAACGTGATTGAACGCAAACAATGGGAAGTTACTGGATTTGTTTCCACTAGGAGGATAGTGATGGGACATTACTCGATTTGTTATCACTAGGAGGATAGCGATGGGACGTTACTAGTCAGTTTCCTGAAACACTAAATTGGATTTCTTAAAACTAACTTCCTCGCAATATAATCATGAAATTGTGAGATCCTTTTAGGCTGTGATCTTTGTCCAATGAAACTCATCAAAGTTGAGTAAGAGAAATTGATACAGGCAATAGAGTGAGAGAAATTGATACAGGCAATAGAGTGAGTTAAATTGATAAAGGCAATAGAGTGAGTGAAATTGATACAGGCAATAGAGTGAGAGAAATTGATACAGGCAATAGAGTGAGTGAAATTGATACAGGCAATAGAGTGAGTGAAATTGATACAGGCAATAGAGTGAGTGAAATTGATACAGGCAATAGAGTGAGTGAAATTGATACAGGCAATAGAGTGAGAGAAATTGACACAGGCAATAGAGTGAGAGAAATTGATACAGGCAATAGAGTGAGAAAAATTGATACAGACAATAGAGTGAGTAAAATTGATACAGGCAATAGAGTGAGTGAAATTGATACAGGCAATAGAGTGAGTGAAATTGATACAGGCAATAGAGTGAGAGAAATTGATACAGGCAATAGTGTGAGAGAAATTGATACTGGCAATAGAGTGAGAGAAATTGATACAGGCAATAGAGTGAGAGAAATTGATAAAGACAATAGAGTGAGAGAAATTGATACAGGCAATAGAGTGAGAGAAATTGATACAGGCAATAGAGTGAGAGAAATTGATACAGGCAATAGAGTGAGAGAAATTGATACAGGCAATAGAGTGAGAGAAATTGATAAAGACAATAGAGTGAGAGAAATTGATACTGGCAATAGAGTGAGAGAATTTGATAAAGACAATAGAGTGAGAGAAATTGATACAGGCAATAGAGTGAGAGAAATTGATACAGGCAATAGAGTGAGAGAAATTGATACAGGCAAGAGTGAGAGAATTTGATAAAGACAATAGAGTGAGAGAAATTGATACAGGCAATAGAGTGAGAGAAATTGATACAGGCAATAGAGTGAGAGAAATTGATACAGGCAATAGTGTGAGGGAAATTGATACAGACAATAGTGTGAGAGAAATTGATACAGACAATAGTGTGAGAGAAATTGATACAGACAATAGAGTGAGAGAAATTGATAGAGACAATAGTGTGAGAGAAATTGATACAGGCAATAGAGTGAGAGAAATTGATACAGCCAATAGAGTGAGAGAAATTGATACAGACAATAGTGTGAGAGAAATTGATACAGGCAACAGAGTGAGAGAAAATGATACAGGCAATAGAGTGAGAGAAATTGATACAGGCAATAGTGTGAGAGAAATTGATACAGGCAACAGAGTGAGAGAAATTGATACAGGCAACAGAGTGAGTGAAATTGATACAGGCAATAGTGTGAGAGAAATTGATACAGGCAACAGAGTGAGTGAAATTGATACAGGCAATAGTGTGAGTGAAATTGATACAGGCAACAGAGTGAGAGAAAATGATACAGGCAATAGAGTGAGAGAAATTGATACAGGCAATAGAGTGAGAGAAATTGATACAGGCAATAGAGTGAGAGAAATTGATACAGGCAACAGAGTGAGAGAAATTGATACAGGCAACAGAGTGAGAGAAATTGATACAGGCAACAGAGTGAGAGAAATTGATACAGGCAATAGAGTGAGAGAAATTGATACAGACAATAGAGTGAGTGAAATTGATACAGGCAATAGAGTGAGAGAAATTGATACAGGCAATAGAGTGAGAGAAATTGATACAGGCAATAGAGTGAGAGAAATTGATACAGGCAATAGAGTGAGAGAAATTGATACAGGCAACAGAGTGAGAGAAATTGATACAGGCAATAGTGTGAGAGAAATTGATACAGGCAATAGAGTGAGTGAAATTGATACAGGCAACAGAGTGAGAGAAATTGATACAGGCAACAGAGTGAGAGAAATTGATACAGGCAACAGAGTGAGAGAAATTGATACAGGCAATAGAGTGAGAGAAATTGATACAGGCAATAGAGTGAGGGAAATTGATACAGGCAATATAGTGAGAAAGTGATACAGGCAATAGAGTGAGGGAAATTGATACAGGCAGTAGAGAGTGGGAGTGACAGACAATGAAGCAATAAAGAGAGTGAGACAGAGTTAAAGAAAGAAGTGACTGGGGGAAGACAAAGAAACTTTACCTAAGTGTCACAAAGCTGTCACCAACCCCATCTGCTGACCAGATGTCACACACCCCACTCACAAGATTAGAATTAGATCAATATAAAAAAGTTCTCATCAAACAATGGAAAGAATAAAACAACTGGTGAAATGAAACTACTTTAATAACATCAAATCAAGACAATAAATCTGAACAAACAGAAAAATATCAAAGTGGGTGAAATTATGGCAGTAAAATTATAAACCAAGCAGTAAAATTATAAACCAAGCAAATAATAAAATAGCTTGCAGCCATTGTAATAAAGTGTTGAGTTAATCTCACAAATTGTTTGGTAGTCTTTGGTTTAATTTTAATGTAGCTACCTTTGATCTCACAAATTGTTTGGTAGTCTTTGGTTTAATTTTAATGTAGCTACCTTTGATCTCACAAATGGTTTGGTAGTCTTTGGTTTAATGTAGCCATCTTTGAACACAACAAAACCTGACTGAGCAGACAGGAGTGGCTTTAAATCAAAACATATCAGCTTCCAAAATAAGCTAGAGATTCAGTGAACAAAACCCACGATCCTTAAAAGTTTGTTCAAAGATAAGAAATTTGTCAATCCCCCCCTCCAAATGGACATGTTATGATACCAAGTGAAAGAAACTTAGATTCACATCATGACTCATATTATTTTATAATACACTGGCCTAGAGCAGTTATGGAAAGATACACAAAGTGAAAAATACAGTAACCATTAAAAAAAAAACAAAAAGCAATAATTACTGTGATGATGAGCATTGTGTTAAATACCAAAAACATTCCAGCTTGAGGGAATATTCCCCTTTGAAAACTTCCTGTTTTGGAAACGATTTAATTTCTTTATTTATGTATAAAAGTCTGTCATTGAATCATTGACATGACCTTTTGTCAATGCCAGTTGAAGTGTCGTCACCATGACCTTTTGTCAATGCCAGTTGAAGTGTCATCATCGTGAGATGATGACCATCCATATTGCTTTCATAGAACAGATAAAACTATTTGACTTGGTCACTTAGTTGTCATTCAACCCTATGCCTGTTCTCAGTTGACTCGGTCAGTTAGTTGTCAGTCAACCCTATGCCTGCTCTCTGTTGATAAAGAGTTGAATGAAAGGATGGCAAAAGCAGCAGCATCTATGACCAGGTGGAAGAAGAAGTGACCTGGGAACAATGAAAACATCATAGAAATGACCAAATTGCTGATCTACCAGATGTGTGTGCTCAATGCACTCCTCTACCTTAGTCTAAGTCTAAGGCAGGGAGGCATGGACATCTCAGCCCAGGCATGAGAACAGCTTACAACTGACATACCTACGCAAAACTGACGGCACGACAAAAGTCTGGTAACATATCTTCTACACCAAGACAATGGACTAAAAGAACAGCAGATGTTTTAAACAGCCATAAAATTCTCAAAGAAGGAATTCCTTGATGGACAGATGCAGACAGCCACTGACTGGAGTATTATGGCTGTGTTATATAAGATCAAGCTAAGGTTCAACTGTCTTGTGACAGCTTAAATTTGTTCTTGAAATTCAGCTGTCTTCACTAAAGATAAAAAAAAAATCTTTGTTTACATTGGTTTACAGCATTACTGAGAAAACTTGAAGAAAATCTGTTAGAAATAATATCACTTCATGTTGAGTAAACGATATGTGGAATGGTTGCCAAAAAATATATCAAATGTAATATCATTAAGTTAATTAAATGCAAATTAAGTGCTGTGCCTCCTGTCCACAAATTCAAAGCAGTAAAATAAAAATGTGAACTCCAACAAGCACATTTTTTTTAAAAATGCCTCTAAATAAAAATGTCCTAAATAATAAAAAAAAATTTGCATTGCGGAGTAGACTGAAAGCTTGACTGTAACTAAGCAAAAATACAAATACACATAAATTACAGAAAATGTAGGTGGACATTTAATTTTTAAAAAATGAAATCAATCAAGTCAGGAGTTGACAAACATTTTTGCTCCATACGTCCATAAAATAAACAAGACTTGCTGAGTTTTTGAAACAGGGAGATAAATAGGATGGGCTCGTAACTTTTCCCCCATCCTTCTCAGAATAATATTTAAGTGATCAACAAATATTGACCCTTCAGTTCTATGTGAAGGCCTAAATTACTTGAGAATCACCACTAGAGATGGCTAGACTGCCATGTAAACTATCATTTAAATAAGAGTTTCAGTCCTGCAGTTAGTCAATGGGGAAAGGTGTGCAGTGAGTTTGGCATTAGCTTTAGAGCTGGAATAAGACTGTCTGAAACATACAAGATTGTGCTTGAAAATACATGATTGTACTTGAAACATACATGATTGTGCTTGAAACAAACATGATTGAGTTTGAAACATACATAATTGTGTTTGAAACATACATGATTGTGTTTGAAACATACATGTCAGAAAATAATTCAAGAAATCTTAAATAGCCATTCAGACAAAAATCATGAGCTTTTAGTTTCAGTGCTTAAAAAATGTTTCAGATTAGATCAGAAAAGTGAGTGTCATTTACTGACATTGACAGCAGCAAACATTTAATAACACTAATGACGTCCCAGTAATATGGCTTATCAAAGTATCAATGTTAATTTGTTCAAGAACACAATAAACAATGTTACATTGAAACATAAATATTCACACATTTCTCCTTTTTTTCTATTAAAAAAAAATTAATGGACTAGTCTCTGACTTACTTACGGGACTAGACTCTGGCCTATCTATATGAGTACCTTCTAGCCTACTTACAGAAGTAGCCTCTTGCCTACTTACAGTACAGGTGTAGCCTACAAAGCTAGCCTCTGGCCTACTTAAAGAAGTCTCTCTGACCTACTTACGGGACTAGCCTCTGGCCTATCTAAATGAGTACCCTCTGGCATACTTACAGAAGTAACTGAATTGACTAACATAAAGAATGTATTACAAAAATAAAGAAATAAATTTCACCTCACATGAGATTAACACTTGTAGAGCACTCTGCATGATAAAAAGGGTTCTCAAAATTAATATTTCTGGCTCCATTGAAAATTAGGTCTCAAGCCATACAAAAATTTTTTAAAAAATATATATATACATAGGAAAGTCAAATGTTTTAAGTGGAGAAAACTGTAGAACAATATTAAAACAATTAATGAACTTGTTTAAACTTTTGTGTGCAGTGGTTGATTCATATAGAACCCTGTCCTGCCTTGACCCCTCTCACTGCCCTGACCACTCCTATTATCTTGACAACCCCCCCATTGCATATTTCACCAGCTTTATCAAGGTCATGGCCATGTAGCAGCCCAGCCCCTATTCAATACAACTGCCATCATTTCAAAACTATTGCAAGTATTCAGCTTCTCAAAGTGTAAGACTTCTCATAGTGGAAGACTTCTCATAGTGTAAGACTTCTCAATGTAGCTACATTGGTTACATGAAAACTTGCTGCTATCATTATTAATAGAGTTTGACATTTTAAACTGTAATTTTTAAATTTTCAATTGTTTCTTTAAAAATGATGGTTCACAATTTGTACATTTTTATGAAAACATGAATCCAGTTGACAAAAGCCTTGCGGGCGGCATTATACTGGTGTCAGTGCGACTAAAGTTGCTCACCCATCATCTTAGGAATGATGTAGAATGCGTTCATATGAATGCCAAAAGTAATATTGATGATTCTTTTGTAAGAGATATTACTACATCAGAGTTTAAAATGAGTATTAATACATTGGTCGTTAATGCTACCGTCTTCTGTGACCATGGTGTGCACCAGCATTGGCCAAAATCTTATGAAAATTAACAAATATTCAAGTTCAGTTATTAAAATTGATATATTTTATATTCATAACTGCATTATTCATGGGTATGAGGACATTTTATTCAGTTTTATATTTATAAGATCTGAAAGGAAACATGAAATCTTTTTTTTAATGTATCGCTTTCGAGAGAGTTACGCACCCTTGCTTAGAAATTTTAAGGGATTCCCATAAAAGTAGGTTAGGCAGGAGTAGGTTAAAGGTCAGATTGCACATGCATCAAAGACCTTTGATAGAAACAATTTTCCTTTCACCATGCTGTCCTTTAGGTGGATGTTTTAAACATAAACATATCTAAGTCACCAGAGTGAGCACCGTGACTGCCACTGCTTCTAAGATTATTTTCTCTCTATCTAGATCACTTTGAATGGAGAGAAGGAAAAAAAAACGTTTGATTCTAAGGCACCATCTTAGACACTGTTCAATATTTTTGTGTGTGAATAAAGTGGATGAAATGAATGAACCACACAATGAACTTTTAGGGCTGGTAGCTAAAAGAAACTGACTTTGGTGTTAATTATGTGTCAAATTTACAGAGGAGAGAATTATTTTTAAAAAAACAAAGTAATTTTGTTTATATACTTCTGGAAGATTGGGTAACAATTTGATTTAAAAAGAAAACTAGAAACTAGAAATGTTAGATTACTGGAATACACATTGTTAAGACTGGAAAATAAGAAAAAACTAGTTCGTTTCTGTGCACATTGCAGGTCCTTGAGCTCTAGTAGCGACTGGTAGAGTGCTGGGGATACACCACATCATTCTGGAAAGTGACAGGCTGGTCAAGCTGGACATGGTCATTGGTCATTCGGGTATATCCAGTAGGCAGAATGTGGCCAACCCCATTAACAATCTGATTTGTGGAAAAGAGTAAAAAAGAAACAAAGTTGAAGCAATAAACAGCAACAGAGAGAAATGGCAACAGAGAGTAACGGCGAGAGAGAAACAGCGACAGAGAGAGGTTGTTACATATACTTTCTTGAGACATGGATGCAGTGGACAAAGTGCTTCTTGAGCACATAGTCCAGATGTACTTAATTTATACACTTTTTAATACATTTAAAATACAGAGTAAAAATATTCTTAAATGTCATTAATGTAATTGAACTGTCCTTAAACAAAATACACTAAAGGTAAACTAATTAAGACAGTGAAATCATGGCCACATTTATGCACACCATTTTATAGATCTATTAAATAGACACATTGAATAACTAAATGAGTTTTAAGAAATGCACACCGTAAATCAACAAAAACTTGGGCTTTAAGTTGCAGAATTTCAAACCACAAGTCTGACTTGTCATTTTACAAAAAAAACATTCAGTACCAAAAAAATGGACATGAAAATGAGGCTCAGTCAGTGAGAAGGATCTTCCAATGCTGGTGATTGCATTGAGCTATGTAAATTAATGGCTAACACCTGACCCCCTTACACGTACACTAAGACACTATACATACCATTGGAATGAAGGGATTCATGGGTGAGGCAAAGCAGAGCACAAAAGACAAGATGTTCACAAGAGCTGATGGCTAACACCTAACCCTCTTGTGTACACTAAGACCTGATGGCTAACACCTGACCCCCTTGTGTACACTAAAGTCATGATGGTCACAAGAGCTGATGGCTAACACCTGACCCCCTTGTGTACACTAAGACACTATACATACCATTGGAGTGAAGGGATTCATGGGTGAGGCAAAGCAGAGCACAAAAGACATGATGGTCACAAGAGCTGATCCTGCAATGTAAACGAAGAAAGCCCAGCCGTACTTGACCAGAGATAACTTGTAAAAAAAGAAATCTTCCATGGACTGAGAAAACACCACTACAACAGCGACACCTGCAGCGCCTGCAAAGAGAAGGGAAAACAACCTTGTTAAATCTTGATTATACCTCCCTCAAAATTTTATTATGTATTAAAAAATTGGAGACCTGTCTCCCAAATCTTTCAGCAGACTTGTCTCCCAAATCTTTCAGCACAAAGTCTCCCAAATCTTTCAGCAGACCTGCCCAACGAATCTAGATCTAATTGTTTTCAGTAATTATTTTGAGTAACAAAATAGTATTTTGCATTGAACCTGGGTTGTGGACTTTGACCTCTGGTTTATGTACTACACGGCATGAATGTTGTGACCTCCATCGTGTATAATGCTTAAACTGGGGAAACCACTGTGGTTTTGGGATCATTTTAATAATTTATTTCTGGGGAACCCTTGGGTATTATTTTATAAATTATACCTTGTTGGAAAGGGGATTTTGTTATCTTTACAACTGCATATTTGAAAGTCCACATTTGTTAGAGGGTGTGTATATAGTAATGAGTTCCAACCCCTTTTTTTAAAATGTCTATGTAACTAATTATCTTGTACAAATTTTAAAAGTGGTATCTTGGATAGCCGAGATAGGGCACGAACACATACATAAAGGTCTTTAGGGTGTACAGATACATATAGGTCTTTAGGGTGTACAGATACATATAGGGCTTTAAGGTGTACAGATACATGTAGGTCTTTAGGGTTTTGGTTCAGAATTTTAACTATTATTCAGGTTGGAGTCATTAGGAATTGTCATTTCACCACAGGAAATTATGCTCCAAGGCTAGTAGTAGACCGTCTTGGTCTTTGTGTGACATAGATGCTCTCTCGTTTGTCTGCACGGCCCTATTTATAATGGATGCGCTTATAGGTGATTGGCATTCAAATTTCTCATCTCATCCTTAAGGTGTGGCACTCTTCGCCGGCACCATTCTGGCCAATTTGTATTGTCCTTTTTCTTTGGACATTATCTTTAGATTTTACCTTGGCATTGTCTATAGAACCAAAAAAAATCTATAGTCCTCAAGATCTGAATTTATTGAGTATATATTTTAAAACTGTCTGCTGTTTTATCACCAGCACATGGTTACACATATTTAAGCCGTCCTGGGTTCAACTGTTTGTCCAGCCATGGCTAAGTCAAAGTTCATATAATTCCTTGTGGGGATATTGATGGAGATGGAGCTATTGTCATTTAATATCTGAAGGCTTTGAGATGCACATGGTTAGAGATCAAAGTAAGATAGGGAGTTGTACAAGGTAAGAGATCAAAGTAAGAAGGGGAGATGGGCGAGGTAAGAGATCAAAGTAAGAGGGGAGATGCGTGAGGAAAGAGATCAAAGTAAGATGGGGAGATGTGCAAAGTAGAAAATCAAATTAAGGTGGGGAAATGGGCAAGACAAGAGATCAAAGTTTTCATGTATTCTTACCAGCAAAGAATGCCATAACTCCATGACAGACAGTCTTGCCACCACCACAGCAGCAACTTCTACAAAGGGCAGCCAGGGCACAGAACAAAGACAAAAGGACATTCACTGCAGAACCCACTCGAATGACCCAATCGCCAGCTGAAATTGTACACAAAAGACATTTGTGAATCTACTATACATACCATCTTTCTTTCTTTGTTTTTTTTGTCATGTGTCAATAATTTCTATCGCATGCTTTAAAAGTTATCTCTATGTTATTAAAAATGTTTTGGTTCAGTTAGACATAACAAGAATTAAACAATATATAGCCTATTTATTAAAAGAATTTTACATATAGCCTATTTGTCATACGAAATAAAAATATAGCCTATCTGTCATAAGAATATAAATAGAGCCTATTTTTCATAAGAATTAAAAATATAGCCCATTTGTCATAAGAATATAAAATATAGACTAATTGTCATAAGAATATAAAATATAGCCTATTTTTCATATAAATTAAAAATATAGCCCATTTGTCATAAGAATATAAAATATAGACTAATTGTCATAAGAATATAAAATATAGCCTATTTTTCATATAAATTAAAAATATAGACTAATTGTCATAAGAATATAAAATATAGCCTATTTGTAATAACAATTAAAAATACAGCGCATCTGTCATAAGAATTAAAAATATAGCCTATTTTTCAGTTCCAAATATTTATAGCCATATAAATAATCACACAGTGGTATCATCACAATTTTACTACATGAAAAAGTTATGCTTACAGCAATGTTCCAAGTTTAAAAAAAAATATTTTTGGAGAACTGGTTTTAAACCAGTTTTTTATTTTTTACAATCGGGGCTGGAGTCTTGCAGAGATGCATGAGAACGGTGTTCCTGTACTTTGTTTGCTAAGAAATAAATACATATACATTTCGGGAAGGACAGGGTTTTGGGCGAGCTCCAACCCCCAAACCCCCTGGAACTGACCCCTATTCGCAATACATCTTAAACAGCCCTGATATTTCACGAGACAAGTTTTAGGGCTGCGTGCCTCGGGGGAGGCTTCGGGTACTTTTAATAACGTACGCATTCATTTTATATTTGGTGGGGAAGGGTGCAAAATAAATTATGGGAGACTGTAATCTAGCAACTTGCTGTGTGTACCACAATAAATTTTGACGGCAACATGGCAACCACTTTTCCAGATTAAAAAAGTCCTGTTAAAACCAGTTTTTAACATTAGCCAGATATCGATATTTTGTACAATAAAAAGAAGTATTGAATTAATGGAATAATAATAAAATACATTGACTATTGTTATTGGGTATTTTAAAAGTCATGATAAAAATAATTTCCTCCAAAACTGAAAAGCGGGATTGGTTATTGTTTAACATCCTTAGTTCCAAGTAAAGGCCATTCCTGATTATATCCTGCATCTTTACTTAGCGTTGCTCGCACAGATCATTTTTTTTTTTTTTTTTGGGCAACATTTAATTATTTTAAGCTGCATCTTTAGTTTAAAAAATAAATTTGGGAGAAAAAGTGTGGCCTATACCCCTAACAATAACGCTCAGAAGCAAAAATCTGCAAATAACACTACATCCATTACTCTCTCAGGTGTGCGTATTGAGTTAGCTCAAACAGTGCGGTACCTGGGTGTCTACCTAGATGGAAGACTAACTTTTGAAAGTCATATTAACATGCTATGCAAGGCGATTTTTCTAGAGCTGCGCAGGATTAGTCACATCAGGCCCTTCCTAACAATTGATGCAACAAAGAGGCTGATGTCTGCATTTGTGCTATCACGCATGGACTATTGCAATGCTCTTATGGTGGGTCTTCCAGCTACGCTCCTGGATAAAATTCAAATAGCACAGAATAATGCGGCTCGCATTGTTCTCCGCAAACGCAAGTTTGACCATGCAAAAACACTTCTGAGAGAGTTGCATTGGCTGCCGGTGCGTGCTCGCATAGAGTACAAAATCGCAACTTTGTGCTACCGCTGCTTACATGACCTGGCGCCGTCCTATCTGAAAGAGCTGCTGACGCCTTATGTACCCACTAGAGAGCTCCGCTCATCCGATAGTGGCAAACTCTCGACACCACGTGTTTGCCTTGAGACTTACGGAAAGCGCACTTTCGCATTTGCTGGTCCACTAATTTGGAACGCCCTTCCTGTCGATCTCAGAAACAACCAGACACTGGAGTCCTTTAAAACCGATTTAAAGACACATCTATTTCGCAAACACCTTCTGGGATGATTGTCAACATTATTTTCCAGTTAATGCATAATGGCTGTGTTGCTTATGGTTGAAATGGCTAGAAAGACTTTGCCATTGTATGCTTGTACTTAGTTTTTGTCGTGTTGCGTTTGTTTTAAATGTGGTAAACTATAGATTTGTTTTTTTTTTACTTTGTACCGCGCTTCGAGCCTTTGGGGATGAAGCGTGTTTTTGAAATGAACTTTATTATTATTATTATTATTATTATCTTGTAACAATATGAAACTTTACTTTCTTTAAACTCCTTTGAGACAGTGTTTTCTTGGGGTGTCAGAGCTAAGAAGATGAAGTCCTTTATTTTTACAAGCTCAGAGCCCTTTTTACAAGCTCAGCACTTATATTGCAAAAACAAATTATACAAAATAAACTAATTACTTTACAAATATAAAACTACATAATAATATACATATTTTATTGTAGAGAATTGAATGAACTATTACCATCTTTATGAATGAAACTGAAATCTCAACATTTATGCAAATTAGATATCCTGATTTGCATAATTTATGCATGCAATTTTTTTTACACTTCTAACTTGCAGAATTTTGTTTTAATTTTTTAATTTTGAAGCTTAGTAAATAAGTCTTAACCAATATTTGAATGAGATTCAATGGGAAACACTGCATAAACTATGCCCTTGGGTCTGATGCCTTTTAACAAATATCAAGGTAAAATATTTTTTAAGCTATTTTAGGGGTCACAAGGTACACAAAAAAATTGATATAAAATGAAAGAAAAATATTAATGGCAGCTGTCAGTATAATGGCAAGATGAGCGTGCAATCCAAGAAGCAATGTGATTAACTGGTACAAAGACCAGCAAGCCAATTTTCTAGACTTTTATTACTGGGCTTCTCGTCTTTTTCAGCATAAAATTCTTCGCCGATAGGTCCAGCCCAGCCATCCCAAGAGGATTAAAAAGACTAAACAATTTTGAACACAATTTTTTTAATCAGTGTAGTGTAATTTTTGTTAAACATCTTTTTCGTAATGCATTACTTTAATGTTACAAGTATCTAAATAAATAAACCTAGTACAACACACTCTTAAACTACTAAAAGTCATTGGTGACTTATTGATTCTACGAAACTTAACTTACATACCGGTACCAATGTTTTTAAGTTGACTTATCAGTACTAGTTGACTTATCTGCATTAGCTGGCTTATCACCAACAATTGACTCATTTAGGGTAGTTTACTTACCAGTGCTATTTTCCAGTGAGTTAGCCTCACATTTACTCTCTTGAGCTACGAGTTCTACACAATTCCACCACAAACCACCATGCATTGAGAGCAATTCAATGCTACCAATTATAGGAATGCTTTCACCAAAAATTTTTGTTACACTATCAAGTGACACCTGAAAAAATGTTAAATTTAAAATTAAACATTTTATTTTGCTTATGTGTCAAATTAAAATAATCAATCTTAATATGAGTTTTTTTTTTAAATGGCTGTCTATGGAAAGTTCTTAAATAAGTTTCCTTTAGAATTGTATGAGATAAAAATAATTGTTGAAGAGATATTTGAATTTTTTTAAAATGATATTTTAATCTTTTTTTCATTTCAGAAATAAAAATTAGTTTCTCTCTTTTAGCAGACTTCATGAAAGTTTCTGGAGTCTACAAATAGAGTGCTTAGTCTGGAGTCTACCAATAGAGTGCTTAGTCTGGAGTCTACCAATAGAGTGCTTAGTCTGGAGTCTACCAATAGAGTGCTTAGTCTGGAGTCTACCAACAGAGGGCTTAGTCTGGAGTTTACCAACAGAGTGCTAGTCTGGAGTCTATCAACAGAGTGCTTAGCCTTGCATCTACCAACAGAGTGCTTAGTCTGGAGTCTACCAGCCAACAGAGTGCTTAGTCTGGAGTCTACCAATAAGGTGCTTAGGCAATTATGTTGTCTGGAGTCTACCAATGGAGTGTGTAGTTAATTGTGCTGTCTGTATTAAAAATACATTTGTTTTGCATTACATTGGACAATTGTTAATTGTACTAGGGGAGATGGTTGGCTTGTTGGTGGGTGAGAGCTTATCCGTCAGTCAGGTGTCTGTGCACTAGAAGCAAGCAGTCAGGTGTATGTGCAATAGAAATCAGCAGTAATGAACAGGTTTATTTTTAATTGAATGGGCGTGGGGAGTTAGGAGGATGAGGTGAAAGATTGACTGCTGAAGTGTACACAACTAAAAACTATTCAGGAGCCAGTATAATGAATTTAGAAAATTTGATATAAAAAGAACATGAAAAGTCGGGCATTTGGTCAAAATTTTAGGCACCCTGGTGACCAGGTGCTAAGGGCACCCCTGTGAAACAAAAATGAGTTTCTATGATATTTAAACTGTATGATATTATTTATTGAGCACTGAGCCCCCCCCCCCCCTGAACCTTAAGATAACACAAAGATCTGAACCAACTCTGCGGAGCACTGAGGTGCCCCACCTGAACCTTAGATAACACAAAGATCTGAACCAACTCTATGGAGCACTGAGGTGCCCCACCTGAACCTTAGATAACACAAAGATCTGAACCAACTCTATGGAGCACTGAGGTGCCCCACCTGAACCTTAGATAACACAAAGATCTNACCAACTGGATTGAACACTGAGGGGCCCCCCCCCCCCCCCCCCGAACCTTGAATTATACAAAGATTTGATCCAACTGTATTACTAATAAACACCAAACCATTTACATTGTATAAAACATTCAGGAAAGTTCAGAATAAGAGATAAATGATTTCCCATTTGAGAATCTGAAAACCTCCACCAGTCTTGTAATTTAATCATTTATTTCCCTTTCGTTATCATTGGGACATCATCATAAAATAACAGATGTATTTAGCAGACCGGTAATAATTTATAACTCGTTATTTCTTATGGCCCATCAAACACAGCTAAAGTTATGCCACAGGATTTTCAGTAGATTTACTACCATAATCTATTCATCACATAAAAAGCATCCATGTGACTAACAGATTTATATAAAACAAATATTATTCAAGTGTGAAAACAGATAAACTGCTGCAGTTGCATTAAATCTCTAGTTCAAAGATAGCGAAGGAAGATTAAACGACAAAATATGTGAATGTACAGCAATAGGGTCACGCTTATTTTGTGTTGAATAAAGCTTCTCTATTAATGAGAAAAATTGAATTAATGTTTTCTGCTGACAAAACTTATGAACAATGATAAAACAGAACAATGAATAAAATATTAAGGTTATAGATTCTTTGAATAATCCATCATTCATGACCAATCCATCATCCATGACCAATCCACCATTCAACAACCCATAGAAATAAAGTTTTTTGTATAAGTCCTTTATATCAGTGCTCCCCCCCCCCCCCCCCCCCCAATGGCTAGCAAACACACATTTTATTCAAGCCCCCTGAACAATATTAATATCCTAATTACCCACCCGCCTTTACATTGCACATCTGTTTCACCATTTCAGGAAAAGAAAAGAAAATATTCTGCACCAAACGCACTTTTTTTTTTTTAAAGAATCTCATTTAGTGCAGTTATCTGGAATTTTATTTGACAATTTGGCAAATTCATCTTTCCTTCATCTTCCCTTACAAAAACAGATTTTTGGGGTTGGGGTTGAAAATTTGAAAGAATGTGTTGTTATCAGCAACGAGACTATGTGCAAAGTTTCAGCTCGATGGGTTGATGGGATGTGAGTCCACAAACAAAAGCAAAGTTAATGACCGTATCAAGGATTTAAAAATTACGTTAACCCTATAACTGTCATAATGGCCGATAATCATTAGTAAATGAGTTTGCTTCCTACTTCCGTTACTACCAGTGTGTTTATGTGCTTTTATCAGGCACTTTTTTGTAATTTATCGGATGTGAAATTATCTCAAATTTGTTTCACTGCCATAATGTCTGATGCCAGAGAGGGGCCTCCTTTGGGATTTCAAAATTAACACAGAATTTCTTTATTAGAATTATTTTAAATATATTAAAATGAAAGCAAAGATATCAGAGATATTGCACGTGCTAGTAATGACAGCATAGGCTCTAGCGTAATGTTGAGATAAGAGTCAGATATTGTCCCTCAGCTTAGTCATATTGTTACGGCCAAATTTGTTTGAGAAAGGGTTGAAATCGAACAGAAAAAGACACAGATGGATCTCAAAGAGTTACTGCTCAGATTTTATGATTGTATATGTTCTGGAGTATTAATTAATAAAAAATGGATATAATAACCTAAACTGACAGAAATTTGAAGGTAGTGAATAAAAAGAATTCACCAATATCACAATTTTCCTTATAAGTAACTATAAATTGTCATTTTATGAAAGAATATTGCTTCTAGTTTATCAAAAAATTGATTTTATGATAGTATTAACAATTTATGGAGTATTGAGGGTGGGTTGAATTCAGATTTTGAGTAGTAAAATATTGCTCACTCTGTAAAGGTCAAGGCCAATATCAATAAACATTATATAAAAACAAATTCTTTTCATACCATAAGATACCTTGTCCAATGTGCTTTCAGAAAATGTATACTTGTAAGGGTCTTTGACTTCATTTAGTCTGGGATTTTTGTCATTTCTGACAAGCATATGAAATTGCTAAAAATGGCTTGATGCTATAGAAATTTGTTCTTGACAGTTATAGGATTAAATATAAACTATGATTAAATTCAACTTACTTTGGCAGTCACCCAAAAGGGGGCTATAGCTCCCACAGCGCACATCAAAAACCCTATCGTTAACCCAGCAAAGGCAACTCTTTGACCCACACTGTAATCACGCTGAACCATGTTGAAGTCTGATGATTTTACAATCTGCTGGATAAAATATTAATCAACAATGAGAAAAAAATCTGTCTTGCATTGTATCAACAAAAATATTTTACATTTGTTTTGTTATAAAAGTGATTGGAATGTTTATATCAGCAAGTGTGCAAAAAAAATATGATACTTTTTTTTTTGTATTATCAAGTTGTAGCATAGTGTAGGTGACTTTTTTTAAATTGTGATGTTCACCCATTTGTCCCCACATTATCCATATTAAAAATAAAAATGTAATGTATCAAAAATCTTTATCGCCCTATCATTTTCTATGGGCAAATCTTGATTCATCAATGTATATTGCAATATCATTCACTATGACTAAGGGCTAGTACTGTAGTCTTGTGACACTGGGATGACCAATGATAAGAGTAATGCAAATCACGAGATTGAAAGTGGAAATAATGATCCCTCTCATGATAAATGAGCATGTTTACTGGGAGAGTTTACAAAACGAAACACAGGGACAGGTTAATAAATGAGCAAAGAAAAGTACAAGCAGCTTTTACCAAGAACACATTCCACTAATAACAATAAAATTAATTTCCTTGGTCAAGATTTTTTAAAAGAAACAAGTCACTAAGCACTGAAAGGCCTGACTAGAGATAGTGTGAGACACATTTACACATGTTATGGCCTTAAACTTAAACCTCAATTATCGTAAGGCTATAGTCAATCACCGTTCCAGCAGGCAAACAGCAGTGTATCAAGGAGTCCAAAAAGGCAGAGGATGCGCAAAAGGAAGACCTTGCGACAAAAAAAGCATTACGTAAGGCAAAATTTTACCAGGAGTCAAGGTTCTCCTGCGAGAAGGACAGCGTGTCATTTCATAAACTGCCTTGTAAGTCTAGACTAGTGGTTCTCAATCTCTGGCCCTTAACGCCCCACTGTCTTAAACCTTAATTATAATAAGGCTATAGTCTGGCAAAGTGGTTCTCAAACTGGGGCCCATAAACTCACATTCACCGCCCCTTGTCCAACCTAAGTATAAGCATTTTAAGGATAAATATTCACAGCCTTCTGGAAGATAATTACACAAAGCCATGTAAAATTGTTACATTTATTTAAAAAATTCATCAAATACAAATGAATCTTATTATTTCATTAATTCCATTATAAGCTGAATAATTTAATTGTCCTTTACTACTTTAGTAAAATGATTATTTAGCAAGAGTTTTGGATATCTGAAGTCTTCTTTGGTAATCTTCCATCATGTAAATGTGGCATAACTTGGTAAACCAGAAATTTATGCCTTCTTTAAGGTGTATTGGCAGAAACTTAATTCAGGTAAATCTCACTAACATTACCAAAATCACCTTCCACTACATACAATGATAAGAATGCAACAAGGAGCATACACTGTGGAGAATATGATAAGGAAAAACCCTTGGTACAAATATTTATACTTTGGTTTAAAATCCTTTCTGCTGAAAAAACAACAGCATCAATCATAAAAATGGGTTTTCAACTCAATCTGTGACTTCCATCAAAGGAAAATTCTGTATTCGCTTTACCAGATAATCATTTGAAAATCTTTATCTGCTAACTCTGACGGGCTAGTAAATTAATATAACTCGTGTCAATGAGCATATTAAGTTTGAACAGAGTTATAAATTTTATTCCTAAGTAAGAAACACAGTTTTTAAAGGCAGTTCTCATTCCATTACAACTGCAAATTTATGATAAACTTTATAATGGAATGCGTGATATCTTTGAAATCAGCACATTGAGAAGCATTTGTTCCAACGAACATAAAGTTAAAAGGATCAATTTATAGTGCATCGCTTTCAACAAAGACAATCAGGAACAGTCAGTTATTTTGACAGTGTTCTAAAAGTTAAATTATTGCAGTAATTTAGGTCGCTGAAATTTGTAGAACTGCTCTATAATAGGAAATATGTTTTTTGTTGACTTGCTAAAAAAACTATTTACAATGTGTTACATAAAATATGCAAGCTAATTTGCTTACTTACTACCCTAATATACAACTAATCTCCATATTCTCAGTCTTATGTCTATGCTGCACAACTAATCTCCATATTCTCAGTCTTATGTCTATGCTGTACAACTAATCTCCATATTCTCAGTCTTGTGTCTATGCTGCACAACTAATCTTTAATTCTCAGTCTTGTGTCTATGCGTACAACTGATCTCCCTATTCTCAGCCTTGTGTCTATGCTGTACAACTAAAAATCTCCATATTCTGTTTTGTGCCTATGCTGTACAACTAATCTCCATATTCTCAGCCTTGTCTTTATATGATAGAAGCTCACTAAAAGCAGGTAGGATTAATACTTCAATGACTGACTGTAAGTAAATTCTCCAATTTATCAATCAACAATACAATGTTACATAATGTGATGCATCCAAGCCAGGGATAAAAAAAAAAAAATAAAAGCAAATCAATAATCATGCTTGTCAGTCTGAGGCTCTTTTGTAATAATACAAGTCTTAGTGTTTTCAACTCACACTGCTTACCTAAATTTAAATGTATTGTTAATAAATGCTGGTACATTAGTTTGAAAAATAGATCAGTTATTTTTATCCTTTTCGTATTGCAAAAGATATATCTTTAATCCACCTTTCTTGGTCACTGACAATCAAAACCATATGTTATATAATATAAAATATAGTTATACATATTACATATTCCTAGGCTATTATGTATAGGGCCTAAAGTTTCTTTGAAACATGACATTTTCAATTCAAAATTACTTTCCACCCACCGTTTCTTAAAATTTCCCAAGCCTTTCAGCACCACCCCTTGCCTTTTGAAAAACCACAAGCCAACACATAATAGAATGCCCAGCTCGAACTTGGGTTGGCTAAAAAAGCAATTTTTTTATGCCATTTACATGTTTAACTTAATTACAAAGGTTTAGGGTTCAGGTTGACCTTTCATGGATCATGGCAACCAAGACGTCTGAATGTACCCTAGGGTCTAGTCTAGTGCTTGACTGGTAGTTAACTATATTATTCTGATAGACTACGTTGCTGCAACCAAGTACTGGCATGTGTGCAACGGTTTCGGAAACGATGCGGCCATCCTAACCGCTCCTAGTGGGTGCCAGGGCAGCCTTGAAACTCTCAATTGATTTCGAGTCCACGAAATATATTATTATTATAGATTATATTAGGTATTAGCAATAGCTGATCACTGAAACTTGAAGGGTGCATCCCTTAACATAGGCCTAGATACTACAAGACAAGATAGAATAATTATATTTTTAAGATACTGACACTATGACTATGACTATAGTGAAGTGTCATGACACAATGAGGACAATGAAATTGAGATACTCTCACTCACTCAAAACTCAACTGATAACTGAATGTCTCAAGTGTCTTACTCTGAATGTGATGACTATCACTAACTGACTAATAGTAAGACTCAAACTCTTATTATTCTTAAGCACTCTCTACTTTAGTTAATTCGGGTAAGCTGCATTATCAATACAGTCAGTACAAAGATATATGCAACATAATACAAGATAACGCGAGATTTCGTCAAAATCATTTAACTTATCAAACGTTATGAAAGAGACTTTTTAAATACTTTGGCCTACTAACACTTTTATTAGACTATTACAAACTAATCAACAGTGACGTTCCTCAGCTGCAGCGTGCTGTGTCGAAGTATCAAACAATATAAATTTACTTCCTGGTATAATTTTTGTTGGTATCGAATACGTTAAAATGTAAATAAATAAGTAGCAAACGACACAAATTGTATTTATATTTTATCTTTTTATACAATATGCTAATTTTGGATATTTAAAAAAAAAAAATATTTTAAGATTCAATCCAAAGTTCTTTTTGTTTTTTTTTTTTTGTTTTTTTTGTTTTTTAAGGGAAAACATACTAACATATTATCGATGCCTATTTGAAATGAATTGAAGCCAGTCTTTCTCTGAAAGATTTTCACGTATGGGGGCGCATGTGTCGATTCCGAGAAAAGATGTCCTGCTTCTTGGTAGAATAAACTTTCAGAATGGACAAAAAGAAAGCAAACCATATTAGGGTTGCTCATTTCCGTGTATTATCCCGGTATAATGGAATAAAAGTGAATATCATTATGGGATAAAATTAATTCTAAATAAAATATAATACCAGCTAAATTAAAATAATATGAAAAAGTTAATAAAAAGTATTTTAATGTGTGAGATTATGATAAGGTCCTCATTAAGACTTAAGAGTTTAGTCATTAGCTACCGGTTGCTTTATTTTCCCCCAGCTTAGTCCTAGTAAGAGATTATACTAAGGTTTAATCTTTTCTTTTTTTTTTAAATTATTATTAACTTTTTTTGGGGGGAAATACTTGGTGGTTCCAAGTGTTGCAAAAGCAAAGGGCTAACTTGAAATTTTCTATGAACTATAGCTCTTCAGACAGTCAGGCCTACGCCATACCTGCCAGGCTTTAAACAGTAGGCCTACATACAGTTCTACACTAGGGTGACCAAATCATGATTTGGAAAAAACGGGACGCTTTCAAGGACGGTTTATTTTATTTTTTTATTATTTTTTTTTTATTTTTTTTTTTTGGGTTTTTTGTTATTGTTTTTTTTTTTTGGCGTGGGGGTTGGGGGGGGGTAATACCCTTCAGCTAAAGAGGGATCCGGGGGGCCTCCGCCGGAAACTCTTTATTGAAATATGCTAATTTTAACAATGAAATCTAACCTAGAAATCTAATTGAGGCACTCAGTCTTTTCATTTGTTTCACTGATGTGATGTGTTGCTGTATGTCTGAACGTCCTCCATGACCAATACTAAAAGCATTATTGCAAACTGTGCACTCGACTTCTTTTTCATAGCGTCCCTTCTTAATATAGTTCCACTCTTTGGAATACTCCGCCATAAACTGACATTGACCCTTGGGCACAATTATTGTTCTAATGAGAAGATAATATAAAATTAAAGAATAAAGTTCAAAACCTAAGGCCTGCAGGGATCACACATAAGAGTAACACATTACACGTAGCGGTAGTGGAATCGAAATTGTTCTGCACAGCTTCATCCTCCCCCCCCCCCCCCCCCCCCCCCCCCGAGGCTTCAAGTCTCGTGTCTTTCGCTAGACATTTACATCCAAGAACTATGGCAGGGACACTGGATGAGGGGAAACAGTGCAGCCATCACGCGAGCCCACATCACTACTGGCACTGGCAAGACAGCTAGCCAAAATAATACTTGAAGTTATATTATAAATTAGGAAGTTTTAGTGATTTGAAAATGTGTTTGGTTTAAAAAACCGGAGATTTAGGCGTCCCGAGAGACTTTTTCGGGACAACGGGTACCCTTCGTGAAAAAACGGGAAAATCCCGTTTTTACGGGACGTTTGGTCACCCTGTTCTACACCCTACCTGCCGACATAATATAAACAGTTATCCTACAGACAGTCCTACAGAATTCCTAAACCATATAAAAGTCAACTCCAAAAAAAAAAAAAACTATTTTACTTGCGTTCAACCGTCACGCATGATGCTCCCTGCTTGAAATGTGTTGTTATTTTTTATTTAAAATCAGTACTGGCACTTCATAAAGTGGCTTACGAGGTCAATCTTGAAATGAAATTCGGCCTCACCTAATTCTCTTGTTGTTGCAAGGGAATTGTTTCGCTCATGATCCGACTTTTTTACTCCGTCATACACTGCTGTTCGCCAGCTGGAACGTTTCTCAGCGATGATCTCCCATGCGTTGATTTCTAAGATGACTTCCCTCACGCTCCTTTGGCTAACGTCCTTTAAGTGGTAACCGGGGCCGTCCAATAATTCTGGCCCCTTCTTACAATTCTCCAAACAGCAGATCCTTATGAATTCAGCTTTTCTACAGTCTCTTTACGTGGCCTAACCAGCGAATGCACCTCTCGCTTAACGCGGAGAATATGCTACACATTGTGGCACGTTCCAAAACCACTGTGCTAGACACCTTGTCCTGCCATGCGACGAAGCCATCTTTGGTTGAGTTAAGTTTCAACTAAAGACTGGCCTATGTGGTCCACACTTCACTGCCATAAATGACTGGCCTATGTTGTCCACACTTCACTGCCATAAATGACTGGCCTATGTGGTCCACACTTCACTGCCATAAATGACTGGCCTATGTGGTCCAAACTTCACTGCCATAAATGACTGGCCTATGTGGTCCACACTTCACTGCCATAAATGACTGGCCTATGTGGTCCACACTTCACTGCCATAAATGACTGGCCTATGTGGTCCACACTTCACTGCCATAAATGACTGGCCTATGTGGTCCACACTTCACTGCCATAAATGACTGGCCTATGTGGTCCACACTTCACTGCCATAAATGACTGGCCTATGTGGTCCACACTTCACTGCCATAAATGACTGGCCTATGTGGTCCAAACTTCACTACCATAAATGACTGGCCTATGTGGTCCACACTTCACTGCCATAAATGACTGGCCTATGTGGTCCACACTTCACTGCCATAAATGACTGGCCTATCTGGTCCACACTTCACAGCCATAAATGACTGGCCTATGTGGTCCAAACTTCACTGCCATAAATGACTGGCCTATGTGGTCCACACTTCACTGCCATAAATGACTGGCCTATCTGGTCCACACTTCACTGCCATAAATGACTGCCCTGTGTGGTCCACACTTCACTGCCATAAATGACTTCCCTGTGTGGTCCACACTTCACTGCAATAAATGACTGGCCTATGTGGCCCACACTTCACTGCCATAAATGACTGGCCGGTGTGGCCCACACTTCACTGCCATAAATGACTGGCCTATGTGCCCCACACTTCACTGCCATAAATGACTGGCCTATGTGGTCCACACTTCACTGTCATAAATGACTGGCCTAGGTGGTCTACACTTCACTGCCATAAATGACTGGCCTGTGTGGTCCACACTTCACTGCGATAAATGACTGGCGTGTGTGGCCCACACTTCACTGGCATAAATGACTGGCCTGTGTGGTCCACACTTCAATGCCATAAATTACTGGCCTGTGTGGCCCACACTTCACTGCCATAAATGACTGGCCTGTGTGGCCCACACTTCACTGCCATAAATGACTGGCCTGTGTGGTCCAAACTTCACTGCCATAAATGACTGGCCTATGTGGCCCACACTTTAGAGACCGACCGAAAGGGATTTTCTGATTTCGTCCGAAGCCGAAAATAGGCCGAATGTTTAAAATGACTTTCGGCCGAAACCGAAAAAATGCCGAAAGTTTAAAAATGACTTTCGGCCGAAACCGAAAAAATCACGAAAGTTAAAAATGAATTTTGGCCGAAACCGAAGCCGAAGCCGAAGCCGAAATCGAAAATGAAATATTAAGATATTTTGAAATTCGTTCCCGCATACATTCTGCATACATTGAAAATGATGTGGGAAAGTATAACTATTTACATTCTTTTTATAAAAAATAAGATAATCCTGAATATTAATAAATAAACATCTAATATAGGGGTCTCAAACTCGCGGCCCGCGAGCCATTTGTGACCCGCAAGACGATATTTTGCGGCCCGCTACATGACAGAAACGTTTATTTAAAATGCGCCGGCCCGTTTCCCCCATTCTCATATCTATAACGTGACTCTCCGCGACGGTTTCAGTTAATCTCACCAACTAGTCAAATTCTGATTTTTTTTTTTTTTTAATGTTTCTATATATTTTTGTATGCCAGGTCTCTGGCAACAGTGAGTAGTTCTTGAGAACCCTTAACGATTTTATTGTTATTTATAAAGGTCTGGCAGATTGTAACAGTTGTAAACGCTTTTTGTGTGAATTACTTGATGCGGCCCACTCTCATTCAGACACTGCCTCCTGTGCCCCCCTCCCCCCATGATTTGAGTTTGAGACCCTTGATCTAATGAATAGTTTGGATTTTACCATTTTTATATAAAAGTAATTTAAATTGCTTTACAATTTTTTTTTTATTTAGCATGGTAGGAGAAAATTTGTCAAAAATATGGGTGGGGGGGGGGGGGGGGGGGGGGGAAATTAATGAAAAATATTATTTTTTTTTAAACAGGGTCTCTAAAAAATGTGGTTCTAAAAGATCGCTTAATTTGTTTTTAAAGATCGTTTAGTTGGTTGTTATTGATCGGTTAGTATGTTCTTAAAGATCGGTGAGTTTGTTCATAAATATCACTTAGTTTGTTGTTAAAGATCATTTAGTTTGTTGTTAAAGATCTTTAGTTTGTTCTTAAATATCGTTTAGTTTGTTGTTAAAGATCGTTTAGTTTGTTGTTAAAGATCGCTTAGTTTGTTTTTGAAGATCTTTTAGTTTGTTCATAAAGATCGCTTAGTTTGTTCTTTAAGATCAATTAGTTTGTTGTTGAAGATCTTTTAGTTTGTTCATAAAGATCGCTTAGTTTGTTGTTAAAGATCGCTTAGTTTGTTGTAAAGATCACTTAGTTTTTTCATATAGATCGCTTAGTTTGTTATTAAAGATAATTAATTTTGTTCCTTAAGATAGATTAGTTTGTTCTTAAAGATCT